CTCCTGTGCCCTTTCCGTTTGTATAAGAAGTCAGAAACTCCACCAAGTTGTTTGAGCTGTTGTGTGACAGGGGCCAGGGGGAGAAGGCAATACCATTTCAGTTACAGTGGCGCCCAACGTGGAGACTGGCTCGAACCTGATTCTACTTCTCCACAAGTAGTTTATGCTCGCCGTGGTCCTTTCGTTTCTCCTTTCAGTTTTGTCGACGTGTGGCGACTTTATTATTTTTATTTCGGCAAGCGGAACTGGTCGTTCATCAGGCTGGTTCAACCTCGCGCTGCACTACAAGCAAGCCCCTTCCCCGGTGAGTCGCTACCAGTAAAGGGTTTGGTGTTTGCAGTGTGCGTATGTTTGCTGTCAGTGCGCGAGGGGATAGTTGTGTAACTGTTTGGTTTCCTGTGATGGTTTGTAGGATTCTCGTTTCGGATCCAGGTTGAATTTTTTTGTGAGCGTATGGTTTCGTAATTATTGTGTTTCGGCATATGGGTTTCTCTAGTTCGTTTGGGTGGGCGTCTGATCATGGTGAGCCACGGTCTGCCTGGTGGTCTGCAGGGATCCTGTGTTTTGTTGTATCGGTTAGCCTTGCGGGTGTTATGGTTTCCGCGTGTTGCTGGTTGGCCCTTGCGCGCCCCAGTCGGTCCCTGACAGTTTTTTTTCTCGGTTTTTTCAGGTTCAATCCCTGTGGTTTTTTCAGGTTCAATCCCTGTGGTTTTTTCAGGTTCAATCCCTGTGGTTTTTTCTCTATAATATTATTTGCGTATTGGTGACCAGTTGTTTGTTTTGTTCCTGCTGTCCTCACCTTGTACTGATCAGATGCTGCTGTACCTGTGTTTCTTTTTTTTGCCCTGCTTGGCGCACCAACAACAACAACCGACTGGCCAAGACGCCGATTTCCCAAGATTCTGCTTCCGTGAAGGCTTCCTATTCCAAATCGGATCACACATCTCTGGCAACAGCATTCCGTTGTCCTATCGTTTGGTTGTGTTTCCCCTTGTTTCTTTTCTCTGATCTTTGTCGTTTGTTCTGAGAGTCGAGGTCGACTCTCGCCGGAGGGGAAGGCTGTGTAACGAATTTATGTTACGACTATGATTTACGCATGTCGTTGTATTTGGTTCTTGTCTTGTGGAGTCCAGTGTCTGATGTCATATATGGTCTAGGTGTACGCGTGAGCATGGTGTGATGTGTGACGTTTATGGTATGTGGTGCATGCAGGAGTACGCGTTGTCAGAGTGTGAGGATGTGCTTCCGTCTGTGTGAGAGTGACTGTCAAGTGAATGCAGTACATGCGCAGTGCTAGTTTGGTCTGGGAATGAGAGTCGTGTGTGATTCGTCCGTGGTCTGGTTGTCTTGGTCTTGGTCATGTGTTCTGTACGTATTAGTCCCTGATTGGTCGTCACGATTTGTCCTCGGTTTATTACTGCTTGTTCTTTGTTGGTCCTCGGAGTCTTTTCCCGGGAGTCTTTCCCGTCGTCGTTTTCTGTCTAGTCTTTTCGTCTTTCTCCTCCTGTGCCCTTTCCGTTTGTATAAGAAGTCAGAAACTCCACCAAGTTGTTTGAGCTGTTGTGTGACAGGGGCCAGGGGGAGAAGGCAATACCATTTCAGTTACACTATAATTATCATGTGTACACGCTATATCATACACAAACTGTATGAAAGCCTCAGTGACTATGGTACGGCCGGACCAATTAAAAAGTGCTTCCAGCAGTCCTGCCTCTTTCATCCTCTCCTAAGTACTGCGTTAAAGTATGAAGGGTTGCGACAAATCATGATATCATAGTACAGTGGTAATTATCTCCGCCTGTCACGCGGACGACCCGGGTTTGATTCCCGGCCGGGGAGCCAGACAGGGGATAGGAAGTCATTCCACCTTCGGGTCAGAACTAGGAAGCTTCTCAGCCTCTCCTTCAAGCATCGCTTGCCTCTCGTGCTTATAGCATTTCTCTAACTTGCAAATAACTTGCAAATAAGATGGCTCAAAACCGTTTCACGGCTGGTGCCACTAGATGAATCACTGGTCATGAAATAGACGATACACTGACGTCACGTTGACTTACAAATATTCTAAGGCTGGAAGTTTTCCAAAAATATCACCGGGCAGGCTTCCTATGCTGTTCCCGTCCAAGTAGCTGAACACACACACACACATAAGAGCACACATACCATTGACATTGGTGCAAACATGCACTTTCTAAATACCTTTCTTCCACACGCATTGATCTAGTTGATGGTCTGACTCTGTAAGACCGAATAAATTGTTGAACAATAAAAGTGTCAACAATGGCAAAAAAAACTACTATGTTGTAAAGGCCCATTCACAACATCGTGTTTTTGCGACGCGACATGAGACTTGCGACACCTGCAATGAGCTATGACCGTAACACGTAATTCGTTATCTTTTAAGTTTTTTTGCGACATCCCTATGCAGAGCATGCGTCCTCATACCCCGTTTATCCGGGCGGTCCAGGACCGGGCACTGCATGTAACATTGAAATGTCCAGAACTCTGAATCACATACGTGTTGACAGAGAAAGGCCATAGATATGGGTACGTGGCGTCACTATTTCCACAAAAAGTGTGACAAAAGAGTAGTAATATTTCCACTGAAACTCGCCCAAAGGCAGCCCGGTAGACCCGCAGTGCCCGTAACTTTGGGGTCTTGATAACCGAGGTATTAGTGTAATATGTGTTGTAGTAGCACAGTAGTCTGCACTGTGCAAGCATCCCGTACCAGCCCTCATTATGCACATACACACACACACACGCAAGCACGCACGCACGCACGCACACACACACACACACACACACACACACACACACACACACACACACACACACACACACACATACACACACACACACACACACACACACACACACATACACACACACACACACACGCACACACACACACACACACACACACACACACACACACACACACACACACACACACACACACACACACACACACACACACACACACACTTACACACACACACACACACACACATACATACACACACACACACATATATACACACACACGCACACACACACACACACACACACACATACACACACACACACACACACACACACACGCACGCACACACACACACGCACACACACACACACACTTACACCTTTATTTCCCATCCAGAGCAATGTATAAAGAAGCAAATAAAAGGTTTGTGTGCGTGCATAATGAGGGCTGGTGTGTACGGGATGTGTGCAGCGTGCAGACTACTGTACTACTACAACACTATACATGTGCACTAAGCATGCATGCATCCAGAGTAGAGAAATGTACTTCATCCGTGTATGCTGTGCGTGGGCACGTCGTGAAAAAATTTGAACTTTGATCAACTTCTGCTCCTATCAAAATTAGAGACTATGCTATAACATCATCGGTAGAGATCAGGGGCGTCACAGGGTGGGTGGGAGTGGTACGACCGGGGTGTCCTCCGGGAGAAAAACATTCGGATTTTTCGGCCAACAGTGCACGTTTTAGCACTCTACGATCTAAAGGTAGTACAGCCGCAAAGGAGGGTTACCCTAGCACCAAGAGGCAAGAGTACATAATCAGAGTGCTACATACACTACACTATGTTGATCTACACGGCTGGCCCGGACACTAGTGCCCTCGCGAAGTAATGATACTTGGTTTTAGAGAGAGAAGAAGATGCTTTTTTTTGTTCGGTGGGATTGAAAGATTTACCAGTGGACCGGAGAGTTACAACACTGGAAGCAGAAGAAAGAGCTTGCGGAATCTTCTCTGTCTTCATGGCAATAGGACTTTAGTTTGTCGTCCTGTCGTTGCGGACGCTTGTTGCTTCAGAAAACTCGGAAAACGAAACGATCGTAAGTCGTTTGGTGAAGCGGGTCGTGTCGGTGAACAGCTGCAAAATGTTCTGCCGCCGTCGAGCAGCAGTCCAAACACTTTTCAACTTCGAAGAATGAAGCGCTTCCCTATTCCGTTGACAAAATTTTAGTTCTGGACCCAGTGATCGCCGCCAGCGCTGTTTCCATCAAGTTTGCAGTGAATGCGTCCGTGAGGAATCCATTGCATGGTTGTCTCTACCCGTAACTCCAACCGCCTATCGCAATGGATAGCCGCCTGGAGGCAATAGCTAGCTGCTAGGCATCAAGTCTGAACCAAATATGCTCATTGCAATGAAAGCTGTGATATTTTGTGCAAGTCCGAAGATCCTTAAATTTGTTTATTGCTTTTTCAGATGAATTGGGTGGACCATCCTGGACGAAAGGTGGTACGACCATGGTCGTAGTGGTCGTACCGTCTGTGACGCCCCTGGAGATGCCTTGGCAAATTCGCGGCCGAGCGATGCACTAGCGGCTAGCTAGCGAATCTCGTTGTATACATAGTGCCCATTAGCGGTTCCGCTGAGTCCCTGCCATGACACTATTCGCATGTAGTTCAAGCGTCACTCAAGGTTTATTTGCTGCGAAAGATCACCACAGTCCATTCATCGGAAACAGTCCCGCTGCCTTTTGAAAGTCGGATTTGGGAAGAATTGAGGATCAAAAACCCACTTTAAATCTCAAAAATCTGGGTTTGGGATCTGCTTCTCCATACATTTTGCCAGGGCATACCTGTTCTAATTTTGCAAAACCTGGCTGAATTTCTATTTCCCTGTTCTTAGACTTTTGTGGCCTCAAATGTGGCAAGGAGTAATTGCACGGGTCACACAATGCAGAATGTAATATTGTTTTCAGGGTATCTACAACTATGTGCAGGAGACACCAACAAGTTAGGGTGCCAGTTTCCAAAGAATGAACTGTAAATTTACCACAATTTCAGTCATGGGACATCCTAAGGTTGCTATTGGTATAAGTCATTTTCAGACAACAAGGAACTGGCCACAGATGTACTGTAGACTTGTGAGAAGATCAGGACTTACATGTGCGTAGCATGAGTGATATTGTCAAATGCACCGCTTGGCAGGTTCTGTATGTTGACGTTGGACAATTCACTGGATGAACGCACAATACAACAATACTGAGTGAACACGTAGTGACATAAAAAAGCGGAGAATGATGATTTACACTTGCGCATGCAGGGTTCTGCAGAGGGTTATTGAACTAAAACGTTAACTCTAAGTTGAACAGAACATGCAACACACCTACCAAGGCGACCACTCTGATAAAGCAACCACCTGTACAGTGAGACCACTACAACTAGAACAAAGTGGTGTCATTTCCAGTTAATTGACCCTGTACAAGGACTAGACTACCTGTACACAGCAACCACATATGGAAGGTCTAGCTCTCTCTCTCTCTCTCTCTCTCTCTCTCTCTCTCTCTCGCTGCTGTGAACACCTTGAGTGGAGAGCGCTTGCTCGAGCGTTGAACCGGGTTCTTAATCCACCATACCCAGTTCGCAAGGCTGGGCAGGGTTGTGAGCAGGCTTTCATTTCATCTTTTCTTATTATTTCTTATTATTTCTGCTTTTCATCTCATTACAAAAATTCTGCGCTTTTTCTCCATCTGCGCATAAAATCTAGACTGACAACCTGCTTGTTAAATCATGCACCTGCTTTCAGGCGTAAAAACCCTGTTGTAGAGGTCTCAGTCCTCATTTGTTAGACTTACCTGTCTTTATAAATGTAACTTACTCCAGTTCCAAAAAATTACGCCTCGGCGTTTTCACAGGCTTTTGAGATTAGCTCTCCTGAGTCTTTTAAATTGCTTCAAGTTCAAATAGGAAAAATGCCACCCATGGGCTCCGAAAGGGGGAGGAGGATGAAGCCCTAGACACTACGCACGCACCACACGAACACTCTGTGTCCCTGGACGATTCTGCTGCGCCATATGACGATCCGTTGGGTTTGACCTCAAGCCAGCGGAAGCACTCCAGTACACGGCATGACACAGGTGAACATCATACATGTCCGAAATGTCACACCACCATCAAACAAGAACATAACCTTGCACGACATATGCGGACTAACAAATGCAAAACATTGGCTGCATCGCAGGCTGGAGCTGTGTCAGCAGTCTCTGCATCACCACCACACGAGACTCCAATGACTTTAGAGGCAAGTACACCAACCATCACACCATCAGACCGGGAAACAACATGTCCACACTGTTTGAGAAAACTCAAATGGAAACAAAACTTGCCACGACATCTACAGACCTGCCCGGTCTACAAATCACTTTCAACCACCTCAGCCAAAGCAGACGGCAGTAGCGGGGATGGTCGGACGACTTCCATGATTGATTCAATGCACTTCAGCCCATCTGTAGGTCAGACAATGACTCCTGGAGATGAATTGCGAACAATCCCGCACGAATCCACTCCCTGTCATAATGAGTCTTTACTTCATGTCCTGAATCAACGGGACATGGACAAGGTAGAAGTCCGGCAGTCCCTACTGCTACCGTCAGCCAAAAACACCAAGGCATGGCACACAATAAACGCTCAGTTGAAGATCCATCTCACTCAACATTTCCCAACCTCATACCTCAAAAACACTAACATCGAAGAGACTCTGGACAAACTAGAGAACTTCATTCACTGGTTTTTCGACCAGAAACCACCACCACCTCCACCAAAACACAAGAATGCAAATAAAAACCGTGCAGTGGAAAAACTCCGGGCTCACAGGCGTGATTTAAAGCGCCAATTTCGTAAGATCAAAAACCCGGACGAAGTACCTGCAGCGCTCAGAAATGAGTATTTTTCAATTGGAAAACAAATCAAGCGTCTTTTGAAACAACAAAAGATGTACGACGATCGATCCCGGAACAAGAGGGACCAGGATGCCTTTCTCAAGGACCCATATGCCTTCGGAAAGAAATTGTTTCAACCAACCAACCATGTCAAACCCACTTTCTCTGACACTACCTGCTTTGAGTACTTCCAACACACATATGCAGACCAGGATCGTGCCACTTCGTACGAATCCTGCCCCAGTGCAGGGAAGCCCCGGGATTGCACCCACCCAGTCGATGAGGGGACCCCTACATGGACTGAATTTCAGAATGTTTTGAAGAAGTGTCGCAACACCTCTGCACCGGGTCCTGACAAGATACCTTACATAGTTTGGAAGCTTTGTCCCTCCCTTCAATCCATTCTTTTCACCATCTTTGGGCGGGTTTGGGAGAGCAAGATCATTCCAAGGCAGTGGCAGGTAGCGTGTATCACACTCCTGGCCAAGGGGGAGGTGTCTGATGATCCTTCGAAATTCCGACCGATTGCTCTAGCGAACACGTCCGGGAAGATCTTTTTCACCTTAGTTGCAAAGCGCCTCTTGAAACATATGCTAGGCAATAAGTTCTTCGATGGTGACAACCAGAAAGGATTTATGCCTGCAAAGGCTGGGTGCTTAGAGCATACATCACTTTGTTATGAGGCGATGCGTGATGCAAAGACGGCAAAACGCCAAATTTGCATTGCGTGGATAGATTTGAAGAATGCATTTGGTTCAGTGCGCCACAATCTGATACAGTATGCTCTAACCCACTACAGCCTTCCTTTGCAATTCAGGAAATTAATTTTTTCCTACTACGACAGTCTTTGCGCTTTCGTCGTACAACCACACACACCCACCTTTAATTACAACATTGGTGTTTTCCAGGGGTGCCCCTTGTCCCCGGTCCTTTTCAATATTTGTTTCCAGCTTCTGCTGGACTCACTTGCAGCCCCTGAATTAAGTTGCCTCTCCTATGATTTTAAATCTGCCCCTTTGCAAGTGTCCCAAACAGCTTTTGCTGATGACTTAGGCCTCTATAGCAAATCTAGTGCAGGTTGTCAAAAACTCATTGCGGTCACGGAGGACTTTCTCTCGTGGACCCAATGTATGCAGGCGGCGCCGCACAAATGCAAAAGCAGTGCAGCAAAGCTTGTAGATGGCCGGTACAAACCTTACGATCCCTGCCTGACAATGTCAGGGAGGAAGATCGCTTTCATTGACACTGCAGAGTTCAAGTTCCTGGGGCGAAGGCTGCATGCTGATTGCTCTGAGCAGACCCAGCGGGAAGACATCCGTCAACTCACTGTATCTCTCATGCAAAAAGTAGATGGCTCTTGGCTTCAAGACCACCACAAGCTATGGCTTTACCACCATCTTGTAGTGCCCAAGCTTTCTTGGTCTTTCCAGGTTCTTGAACTCACACAAGGTTTTGTACGTGAACTGCACTTTATGTGTTTACCATTTCTGAAGAAATGGTCAGGCCTACCTCGATGCGCAAACTCTGCCATTCTTTTTATTGGCAGTCGCAAACGCTTTGGCTTACGCCTCCACTACCTTCCTACGGTGTGGAAAAAGTGCCAGTCCATCAAATGGCACATTCTTCGATCGAGTGGGGACGCGCGCATGAGGGCGCTGTACACTCTGCGTCGGAGTAAGGATGCGAAGCTGACAAAGCGATATGCGGCGACAATAGAGCTGGAGTGTGCAGAGGCATCAGTAGGTTCAGGGACTCTCCGTCCACCGTCATCTTCAAGTCATCGTGCAGGGTTGGGTGCTCCTGCTCCGAAGCAGCATTCCAAACCCCCGAGGAAGGATCTCCTTCAAACATTTGAGGAGATCAACGCGCAGGAGCAGATTTTGAGGCTGAAGACTCTTCAGGTGCAAGGCAAGTGGTTGGAGTGGACATCGGTGATGTGGCAGGACCTCTCGTGGAAATCCCTTTTGTACGGTGGTACTGGTAAGGATTTGAAATTTCTTCTCGCATCAACCCTCGACGTGCTACAGTCAGACCTCGTTTATCCGGTCCTCGTTTATCCGGATCCCTCGCCATCCGGAAGAAAATCGCTGGTTACCGATGTGCAGCATATGTTATGCATACAACATAACCGGACCTCGCGATCCGCATACCGGTGCATGATTTTGTGTACAAACTGGTTAAAATGTGTACAAAATGCTTCGTCGTATCCGGTTGCATGTGGCTGGCTAGCGCTTGCAGAAGCTAGTATCAAGGAGTTGTACAAGCAAATGAGGTCCTTGACCTGCTGGGTGTGTGCGGACAGCACTCAGTTGCATGCACTTGTCATTTTCTCGCTTGTTTTACATAATGCTAGTTGTACTGCATAGGACCTGTCTACATGTACATGTATGTATGATGTCACTGCTTTTGACATGCCACATGCATGTACAGTATGTGCGTTCAGTTATCCGGTTACCTCGCCTATCCGGATATTTTTGTGGAAAACAGATGTGTGCGGTTAAGCGAGGTCTGACTGTACCTTCTCCGACGAACCTACGCCGTTGGGGAAACACCGTAGTGGATCCGTACTGTAGTTTGTGCCGTACCTGGGCCTGTACTACGCGCCACGTGCTTGGCGCTTGTCGCGTAGCGCTGGACCAGGGACGTTACACCTGGAGGCACGACAACGTACTCGGGGTCATCGTCAGGAACATGCGTGAGGAGATTCGAATCCGCACTGCTGCAAACACCGTACAAACCGAAAATTCAAATGAGCTTGACTTCATCTCGTTTTGCAAGGCGGGAGAGAAGCCAGTTCGCGTTCAGCCCAGACGAAAGTTGGTTACGACTGATCTCCTGTCAGCGGCCTCAGACTGGAAACTTCTTGTCGACTCAGTTAGTGCAAAGATTTCTTTCCCTAGCTGTGTTGCACTTACCACCCTAAGACCAGATATAGTTCTGTACTCTACGAGTCGTAGGATTGTATTCTGGATGGAGTTGACAGTTTGTGCTGAGGACAGATTCAGTGTCAGTAACTCGCGGAAGGACAGGCGGTATGCGGATCTGGCCGATCAATGCCGAGCAAACGGGTGGCAGGTCGTTTCTTTTTCGGTTGAGGTAGGTGTGCGTGGTTTCATCCCGGACTCTCTTCGGAGGGCTCTGAAAGCGCTTGGATTTTCTAATCGAAGAATAAAATTTATTTGTAATTTGTGCAGTAAGACGTCTCTGCGAAGCAGCTACATCATCTGGTTGCGGCGTCAACAAAAACACTGGTCGGAAGATCCACTTTTCTGAGGTACTGTATGTGGGGCTC